TTTTTGGTTGAAGTTGAACAAATATTTTTGTTGAATGAAAACAATTTGGGTTGAAGTTGAACAAATATTGAAAACAATTTGGGTTGAAGTTGAACAAATATTGTTGTTGAATGAAATAATTTTTGGTTGAAGTTGAACAAATGTTTTTGTTGAATGAAAATAATTTGGGTTGAAGTTGAAAGAAAATGCGTATCGTTGAATATAAATATAAAATGTTGAATATAAAGATATGTTGTTGAACATAAATATAAGTTGTTGAATATGAAGGTCCAAGTTGTTGAATTTTACAACATTTGGCTAACCATAAATGACGTCATCTCCATTTTGTCCATGTGCTTTCTTTCGAGTGTTGTGCAATATTGCGGACTTTCACTGGACTTTGGTTGAGACAGCTTACTGTGGACTGTAGCGGATAAGTTGTTTATTAAAAGTTTGAAGTCAGTATTAATGGCATTTAAAAACCTCGCAGACATGTCTTCACGAAATGTGCACGACTTTTCGCACGAACAGAAAGCAGTGTAGTTTGGCTGCGTGTTATGTACCCTCTTCTCTTCGACCAAAAGAATTAAACCAACGCTGCTTTTGAAATGTGTTCTTTTCACTTCGCTAGTCTAAATTTCTGTGCGCAAAATATGCAACATAAACCCAAGAAAGTGTTTACATGGGAAAAGAGTTCAACTCCCACAGGATTACATTGGTACACCAATTAATGTCCTCCGTTTCATTATTTCGGAAGTGAAAATGATCGGTAGCTGTTTCCCCAAAGCCAAGGCGATTCAAGTCGTGTTCGTAAACTGAATAATTGCCTTAGTTTTGGTACTAAATTCACGTCGTTTCGCATACCGACGGAACAGGCAGCGTTTGTGTCGATTTACACGGTCCAGAATCAGAAAGGAATCGTAGATTTCAGGGCAGTATAAAATATTGTCTGTGGGCTGCGGACTGCCGACTGCGGACTGGGTATAAAACACAGACTGAGGTATAAAACGAGAACTAAACATTACGGACTGGGTATAAAACATGGACTCATGTATAAAACGCGGACTGCGGACTAAATGCGGCCTACCGACTACAGTCCGTGTCTGACCGGTCGTAACTAATATTACGTAATACACGTACAAATGAGAACAAACCCTTTCGTATGTACTTGCTTTGCGATCAATTCATTTGTTTTCGCCTCTACTGGAGAAAGGCCAATTTCACGCCTACCTAACAGCTCAGGCACAAAATGCTGTTCCGAGAATTTTTGCTTTACCTACCAATGCTCGAACGCACCCTTAAATCTACGATTACATACGACTAGTATTTAGTGGTTGTGCAGGATAATCCCCATTATTTCTCAGTTTGTCAAGTGTTCAATATAAATTGTAGACTGCAAGTGGGAAAACAAATCACACAAGCTTAATTCCTCAATCCGATAACTATTGCAGCCTCCCATGTGAGATACCTGTTCCTTTGATCCTGTTATAAAAAATACTGCATTTTCCCTCTTGTCCTTCGTGAATTCCATTGTTCCAGAAGGTTCTCGTTTATTGTGGAGATATTCTTTGCTCCCTCAAGCAAATCAAACAAATAGATATATACATCTGTCTAGTTCCCTCATGCTTTTGTTAATGTTTACCCACTGCATAACTGCCTTTCTTTAAACATAAGCACGCAAGGCGTGCAAGAGTTATTTTTTTCTGTGAAGTTTTGGAGATAGAGGCATTCATGGTACAGTAATGATTTGGTTAACTTGACAAGTTTTTCTGGTTGCGATGTTACATCGGTCATGGTAAGATAGCGAAATAGTAAGCCATAAAATGTTTGACTGAACAAACTACAGTAATCTGACACGTCTCCAGATTAATGTAGATACCATCTTATTTTCCAACAGGCAATTTG